CCTCCACACCGTTTCTCCCCATCAAACCCTCCCAGGACAGGGACAGCACGGGGTTAGATACAGAGTAAAGCACCCTTTACACTGTCCCCCATCAAACCCTCCTAGGACAGGGACAGCACGGGGTTAGATACAGAGTAAAGCACCCTTTACACTGTCCCCCATCAAACCCTCCCAGGACAGGGACAGCACAGGGTTAGATACAGAGTAAAGCTCCCGCGAACGCTCCCCCCCACCTCCCCGCCCCCAGTCAGTCTGACTGTGCTGCTATAGGGAAACTGAACCCTTACATGATAGGGCTTCTCCCCAGTGTGGATCCGAATGTGGCTCTTCAGTGTCTGTAAGTGTCGGAAACGTGTCCCGCACGTTTCACACGGATATGGCTTCTCTCCCGTGTGGATCAGGACGTGGGCTCGAAGGTGAGCAACCTTACAAAAGGCAACAACAAAATAAGAAAAAAGCAAACGGTGTGAGTTTACTTAGTGGCCCCAACACTCAAACATCCCCTCAGTGCGTTTCAAACAATTTCACAGCAAGCTGCACTAGGAAATATTCATACACACGGCCAAGGATGTAAAAACTGTATGTCTTATGGAAGAGACACAGACAGATAGACGGAAAGGGGCTTTCAGGAGGGGTTTCCAGAGCTTGGGACGCAGGCAGCTGAACGCATGGCCCCCAATGGGGGAGCGATGAGAATCAGGGGGATGGTCAAGGGGCTGGAATTGGAGGGGTAGGGGGCTGGAGGAGGTGGCAGAGATAGGAGGGGGGAGTAGGGGGCTGGAGGGGGTGACAGAGATATGGACGGGGGTGGAAGGGGCTGGAGGAGGTGACAGAGATAGGGAGGGGCGTGTAGGGGGCTGGAGGAGGTGACAGAGATAGGGAGGGGGTGTAGGGACCAGAGGAGGAGGAGGTTACAGAGATAGTGTGATGGGAAGGCCACTGAGGGCTGGGAAAACAAGCATGAGGTTCCATATTCAACACATGAGGAATTGCTTTTATATAGAGTCATACAGCATGGAAACAGACCCTTCAGTCCATGCTGACCATGTTCCCAAACTAAACTAGTTCCACTTGCCTGTGTTTGGCCCAAAATTTTCCTATTTGTGAACTTATCCAAATGTCTTTTAAACATTTTAATTGTATATGCATCCACCATTTTCTCTGGCAGTTCATTTCACACATGGACCACGCTCCGTGAAAAAAAAATTGCCCCTCATGTCCTTTCTCCTCTCACCACAGTTTCAGCAGTGTGTACCATCTACAAGATACTTACCATCCTGATTTGAAAATATATTACCACTCCTTCACTGTTGCCAGGTCAAAATCCTGGGATGTCCTTCCTGACAGCGCTGTGAGTATCTACATCACATAGACTACAGTAGTTGGAGAAGACAGTTCACCACCATTTTCTCAAGGGATAATTAGGGTGGACATTAAATGCTGCCTAGCCAGTGATGCTCACAGACCAGGAATAAAAAAAAATGCTCCACATCAGCACTCTAAAACAACCAAGCTTTAATTTAAGATTGCAGGATCTACTCTTTGGAAACCTTTCATCAACGTCCTGCCACCTGTACTAAAGTTTTGCTCTCAAGGTGGGGAATTGAAACTGAGTGTCAATAGGTGGGGAGAAACTCTGGTTCTTTGCCCGACTGTGATGTCCTTCCATTTAGAAACAGTGTGCGGAAGCCTGCACTCTCCCGGGAAACTTTACTCTTCCAAAAACCAACGTCAACCACAGAGAATGGGAAACAAAGGACGTAAGTTGGCTTTCTGTTCAGTTATACCGATAAGCATATAAGTGAAATGATATCTGGCTAATCATCAAACAGAGGTCAGCAACTGTAGTGCAAAAATTCTGACTGGCCTGTTATTCTGACCTATTGGAGCAGGAAAAAGAATTTGAAATAGATTGATAATAGAAATAATCAAATTAAGTTGTTGGAACAGGACAGCTATGTGTCACCCCTAAAACTGGCCCTAATTCCAGGTTGGAAATGAAAGAGGAATGTTGGCATCTGCTGTGGTTGGGATGAATGTCTTGGCAATTAGCATTTGTTGACAGCATGATGTACACCTATAGGGAGTATTACATTTCCCATATCAGTCATACTGGATGCTGGCAGTTGCTTGATCAAGAGTTCTCTTCAACTCATTTAACATTGTACCCATGCATCTGGTTTTCGCTACACCCATTGCGGTAAACAGAAAGGACATTTAAAGAATTGGACATGTGGTGTTTCATTGTTTGTCTTCAGTCAAGCCGAGGTAATTAAATTAAAGATCCGATGCAAAATGAGCTTTGACTGTCTCATCTTAGTTCATAGTAGTTATGGATCCACTACACAAAGCTGTCTCTATTTTGAGTACAGTTGAGTCCAGCTGTTTTAAATCTGGCTGAATAACAGTTGAACATTATAGATTCTAAAACAAAAGGAAAACCTCCCTTATATAGACTTAGAGATGCTTAAACTGTATTGAAAGCATTTGCAATTGCAAGGATCAGAAAATATGTTTAAAATGTAATAGTTTCCATTAATTTTATTGTAATGAGGGTCCTCTTGATGACACCAGTTATTTTCAGCAATATAGCAACTTGCCCTTATGTAACAGCTTTCTGCAGTACGTTTCTGCAGCTATCAGTGAGACATCAGGATGGTGTATTGCCTCTTTGGTGCCTGAGTCAAGGATGTCTCAGCAAGGGTGTAGAATATTCTGAAAGGGGAGAGTGACCAGTAGGAGGTCATTATCCACACTGGTACCAACCACGTAGCTTTTGAAAGGGATGAGGTTCTGCAGAGAGAATATCGGAAACTAGGCAGGAGGTGTAAAAAGTAGGCCCTCAAGGGTAGTAATAGTGCCACATATTAATGAGAATAGGAATGGGAGGATAGAGCAGATGAATGCATGGGTGAGGAGCTGGGTGCAATGATTCACATTTTTGGACCATTGGGATCTCTTCAGGGGTAGAAACGACCTGTATAAGAGGCATGTGTTCAGCCTGAATTGGATTGGGACTAATATCCTTGCGGGGAGATATTCTGCTGCTCGGGAAGCTTTAAACCAGAAAGGGGGTTGGTGGGAACCAAAGTGATAGTGATAAAGAGAAAAGGCTGAGTTTTGTACAGTAGATAAGGGAAACAAGTCAAATAGTCAAGGCAAACGAGAGCTTGGCAGAGAGCGAGGTAAGACAGCCAAATTAAACTGCATTTGTTTCATTACAAGAGGCCCTGACAGGTAAAGCAGATGAACTTAGGGCATTTTTGTGAACATAGGACTGGGATACCATAGCTGTTACAGATATGTGGCTTAAGGATGGACAGGGCTGGCAGCTTAATGTTCCACAATATAGATGCTATGGGAAGGATAGAAGGGGAGTCAAGAGAGGAGGGGGAGTGGCAATTTTGGTTAGGGATAACATTATGGCTGTACTTAAGAAGGATATTCCTGGGAACATGTCTAGTCAAGTTATTTTTCTGTTCTATTCATTTGTGGGCATCGCAGGCTGGCCAGCATTTCTTGCCCATCACTAGTTACCCTTGAAATGGTGGTGGTGAGCTGCCTTCTTGAACTGCAGCAGTCTTCCTGCTGTGGGTTGACCCACAATGCTATTAGGGAGGGAATTCCAGGATTTTGACCCAGCGACAGTGAAGGAACGGCGAATATTTCCAAGTCAGGATGGTGAGTGGCTTGGAGGGGAACCTGGAGGTGGTGGTGTTCCCATATATCTGCTGCCCTTGTTCTTCTAGATGGAAGTGGCCGAGGGTTTGGAATGTCAAGGAATGGTGGTTAGATTGTCTCTTATTGGTGATGGTCATAGCCTGGCATTTGAATGGTGAGAATGTCACCTGCCACTTGTCAGCCCAAGCCTGGATATTGTCCAGGTCTTGTTGCAGTCAATCGCGAGCACTGGGTGGGTAGGAGACAGACTGTGAGCGCACACAGGGCTAAAGCTGCAGGGAGGACAGCCCGATAAAGAATGAAGCTGTCAGAAGGTGCTCAAATTCCTGCACAAAGCCTAGCCACTCACCTGCACAAACCTTGCTCCACACGTCTCACATTTGTAGGGTTTCTCCCCTGAGTGGATTCGAGTGTGGGTCTTCAGATTGGCTGGCCGATTGAACTGTGCCCCGCAGACTGTACAGCGATATGGCTTCTCTCCTGACAGCAAGACACGAAGCACCCACGGTCACACGCTTTATTCTTCCAACACTCTCTGTCACAGCTAGAACGGCACTGCTACATCCGACAAACCTAGTGGCCCCATCCACCAACCAACCCTACGCCCAGAAATCAACGTGGGTGCCAGCTACAAGCAGGTAGCTTCACTACACTGGTAACCCCGTGGCAGCATACAGAATTTAAAACTAAATTATCTTTTTAACTGCCCCGCGAGAGACAAGGTGGACTGCATTGGTTCAAGGTGGCAGCTCACCACTGTCTCAAGGGTGACTAGGGATGGGCAATAAACGTTGGCCCGGTCACTGATGCCACGAACGAATAGGTTAAAACCTCCAGGCGGTTTCGGTTCTACGAACGGCTCCCTCCCTAACGCACACGCAGCACAGAGTGCTGCATCTCACCTGTGTGAACCGTCCTGTGGCTGGTCAGGTTACCCTTGTATCGAAACGCAGCCTGGCACATGTCGCACTTGTAAGGCTTGTCGTCGCTGTGCACCCTCAAGAAGTGCTGCTGCAGCAACTCCTCATCCGACAGCTTCAGGTCACACGTGGTGCAGGAGAAAAGGCCGTTCTCTGCAAAGAAACAAAAAAAAACCAACATCAAACATCTCGACCACCCTCTCCGTCATTTGAAAGACTTCATCAAAACAACATTCTCAGGGCCGGCTCAACTGGGATCAGTGCGGGTTCTCCCAGCGGCTGTACAGTAGGGTGGCACGAGGGGTCAGGGGTTAGCGCCGCGGCCTCACAGCGCCAGGGACCCGGGTTCGATCCCCCCTCAGGCGACTGTTTGTGTGGAGTTTGCACATTCTCCCTCTGTCTGCGTGGGTTTCCTCCCACAGTCCAAAGGTGTGCAGGTTAGGGTGGATTGGCCGTGCTAAATTGTCCCGTAGTGCCCAGGGATGTGGGGGTTAGGGTGGATTGGCCGTGCTAAATTGTTCCAAAGATGTGCAGGCTAGGATTAGCAATGGGAATTGCGATGTTACTGGGATAGGTGGGGGGGGGGCGGGGTCAATTTAAATAGGATGCTTTTGGAGGGTCGGTGTGGTCTTGATGGGCTGAATGGCAACTTTCTGCACTGTAGGGATTCTAGGAGTTTAGAACCAGGGCCCAGTGTCCCAGGATATGATGTCTACTGGATGATGAGGAGGAGGAGTTTCTGAAATTCCAGCCTGGGTTCTCTGTTGGGGTTCCGGGGAGCCAGAGCAGGGCGACTATTCACTCCTAACACTTACCTGACCCGCTGTCCGAGAATTCCGAGTGGTATCCCGGCATTTCCTCGCTGGGGTGGGACACCAGGGCGTGGCGACAGAGATCGGAGTGGAGCTCACACAGCGAGCAGGCCGAGGAGGTGCGCGACGCAGGGGACTCTGACGATGACCTGAGTGAGAACACACAATCAAAACGGGGAAACGTTATCGCAGCCAGAAAAAACAAAGGGGGAGGGTGGAAAAAGAGGGGTTAGTGCCCACTCTCTGCCTCATTTCTCCCATCGACGGCATCTTTGTATTTAATCCACCTGGGTCGCCTGCATCTTTTACAAGATTAACTTTCCTCTATTCAACGTGTCTGTGGTCCCCCTGCATGTCCTGAGGTCCCATCTGTCCTGTGTGGACTTGCATTGGCTACTAAAAAGTGGAGGAAGGGTCCGCTGCGTTCCCTCCTCCCTGACCCAGTGGAACAGCCATAGCCTTGTGCCCAGCTTTAACCTTCTCAAAAAGGCCTGGGTCAGGCTGACTCTGCGGGCCGCGGCCACCCGCCCCTGGGGGCCATTTGACTGCTGAAGCAGCGCAGCGGTCCCTGTCCTTGGGGCACCTCTGATGGGGTGGTCAGGGTTTCGAGGCGACAGTTTCCAGGAGCAGGGAGCTCTGTACAAAATCAGCCCAGTTTGAAAACATGGAACTGGGATAAAGTATAAAGAGCAAGGCTAAAAATGTCAAGAAGGACATCTTTGTGGAAAAAAGGGAAAGCAAATCTGGAACGCTCCTCCTCAAAGAAGTGCCAAGGGTCAGCTCGGAGGATGGAGAGGTTATTTCAATAGTAACGACGCATAGATGGAGTGAGAATACAGAACCTAAAAAGGACGTTGGTGAGGCCTCTTCTGGAGCACCATGTCCAGTTCTGGTCACCCCATTATAGGGAGGACATTAAGCTGGAAGGGGTTCGGAAGAAATTTACCAGGATGTCGCTGGGAATGGAGGGTTTGAGTTATAAAGGAGAGGCTGGGACTTTTTCCAGTGGAGTGTAGGAGGCTGAGGGGTGACCTTATAGAGGTTTTCATAAAAATCAGGAGGGGGGCACAGATAAAGGTGAATGGCTGGTGACTTTTCCCTAGGGCGGGGGGGCATTTCAAAACTAGGGGGCATGTTTTCAAAAGGCGAGAGGAGGAAAAAAAAAGTGACACGAGGGGCAATTTTTTTCTTTTTACACACAGAGAGCGGTTCGTGTGTGGAACGAACTTCCAGAGGAAGTGGTGGATGTGGGTACAGTTACAAGATATTTGGCTAAGTACATGAAGAGGAAAGGTTTGGAGGGATATGGGCCGGGAGCAGGCAGGTGGGACTAGTTTAGTTTGGGATTATGGTCGGCACGGACTGGTTGGATCAAAAAGGAGGGCTCTCAGACTCTAGGACAATGGCAGGTCTTTGTGGTCTCCCCCAGACTCACCGATGGGCGGATTTCTTGCACGCTGGGTCTTCGTCCTCGGTTTCTTCCTCCATGTTGGTTGAACTCTCGTCGCTGCTGCTGCCGCTGTTATTGTTACCCCCTTGGGTAGCGTCAGCACTCCGGCTGTAGAGAGGCTCTGGGGAACGGGGTCCCTTGGTCCCCTGCTGGCTCAGGGAGTTCAGGACGATGAACTTGTACTTCTTCCAGTTGCAGGCCTTGGGGTCGGGGGCCTGGCTCTCCTGGGCGGGACGGTGGGAGCCCAGGGCGGCGCTCCGTGACTCGGTGGGCGAATCGGGCTGGCAGTCGGAGCACAGGGGGCTGTCTGGGGTTAGGACGGGGGTTTTGTTCCTGCTCTGGCCCAGGGTGGCGGGCCTGTCCACCGGGGCCCTCTCCTCAGGCTGCTTCCCACCTCTCGGAGGTCTGGTCTCGGGCCTGCTCCCGGGCCTGCTCCCAGCCCAGCCGCCGCCGCACCTCCGACCTCCGACCTCCTCACCTGGGACGTCCTGCCGGGAACCACGCGGGGCCACACGTCCTCCCGGGAATCGTAAGGCGGATTCGGGAAGGTAGCCTGGACCTCCCGCTACCAGCAGGTGGGGGGCGCAGGTTGGGAGCAGGGCCCTGGATGGGACAAAGTGGAGACCAGGGTCCTCACTCCCCCTGGAGTAGGCCAAGGCCCTGCCCAGCGGGTAGTCCAGAGACTTCAGGTAGGTGTGTAGCTGAGGAACACTAGGAGGGAGAGAAAACAGAGAGGTTTCTGCAACAACCCTCACCAAAAAAAAAGTCATGTGCTGAACTGCTGTTACTATCTAATGCAGGAAGCACTGCCACCATTTTGTGCACAGCATGATCCCGATAACAGCCTCATCACAATGGCCCGGGTGATTGTGTTTCACATAAACAGGAGCAGAAAGAGGCCACTCGGCCCCTCGAGCCCGTTCCACCATTCAATAAGATCGTGGCTGATCTTTTCATGGACTCAGCTCCACTTACCCTCCTGCTCACCATAACCCTTAACTCCTCCACTGTTCAAAAATCTATCTATCTATCTATCTCTGCCTTAAAAACATTCAGTGAAGAAGCCTCCACTGCTTCATTGGGCAGGGAAATCCACAGAATCACAAACCTTTGGGTGAAGAAGTTCCTCCTCAACTCAGTCCTAAATCTGCTTCCCCCCTTATTTCGAGGCTATGCCCCCCCCCAGTTCTAGTTTCACCTGCCCAGTGGAAACAACCTCCCTGCTTCTCTCTTGTCTACTCCTTTCATAATTTTGTATGTTTCCATAAGCTCCCCGCTCCCTCCCCTGTCCATTCTTCTAAATTCCAGCTGCCGCCTCCAGGGAGCATGAAAGAGACGGCAGCGTGCAACCCCCCAAGCCCCCCGATGCCACCCGCCACCCCCGTACCCCGCGCCGTGCCAGTACCTGAAGCAGGCAAAACTGCGACACGTCTCTGCCACGTGGTCCATCTGTAAGTAACTGGCAGCTGTCAGGACCTCTGCGACAGAGCCCGGGTCCAGCGGGAGGCAGGACGTGTACATGAACTCTAGTAGAAGGCGGAAACCGCTGGCGCTAACCCCGCACGGTAGGGTCAGCAGGCTCACGTTCCTCTTGGTCTGGTCCGAAAATATCGAGTAGAAGAAGCCACTGAGGGAGAGAGGCAAGGGGCCGTCAGCGGTCACGTTCCTAAAGGACCCCTTCAGCCAAAAAAATAAGTCCACCCCACATGGACTGCAGTGATTCGCGAAGGCAGCTCCCCACCACCTTCTCCACGGCATCTACTGGTGTGCAGGCTCGGTCCTGTTATCGGAAATCCCTGTCCCAGGTTACCCTGACCACATCAGGGAATGGTCCCAAAGTGATTTCACAGGAGCACTATTGGACAGAAATTCAGAGCAGGAGCTACTTAGGGCGGCACAGTGGCTAGCACCGCTGCCTCACGGCGCCAGGGACCTGGGTTCGATCCCACCCTCGGGTGACTGTCTGTGTGGAGTTTGCACATTCTCCCCGTGTCTGCGTGGGTTTCCTCCGGGTGCTCCGGTTTCCTCCCACAGTCCAAAGATGTGCAGGTTAGGGTGGATTGGCTGTGCTAAATTGTCCCGTAGTGCTCAGGGATGTGCAGGTTAGGGTGGATTGGCCGCGCTAAATTGTCCCGTAGTGCCCAGGGATGTGCAGGTTACGGTGGATTGGCCGTGCTAAATTGTCCCGTAGTGCCCAGGGATGTGCAGGTTACGGTGGATTGGCCGTGCTAAATTGTCCCGTAGTGCCCAGGAATGTGCAGGTTACGGTGGATTGGCCGTGCTAAATTGTCCCATAGTGCCCAGGGATGTGCAGGTTAGGAATGGGGAATGCAGGGCTACAGGGATAGGGTGGGGGTGCTGTTTGGAAGGTTCGTATGGGCCGAATGGCCTGCTTTCCACACCGTAGGGGTTCTAATGATCTAATAGGAGGAGACATGATAAAGGGTTGACCTGAGAGGACGATGATTCAGGACCTCAGAGAGAGAGGCGCACAGGGCTCGGAATGCTAAGAGCACAGTGCCCAATTCTCGGACAACAAGATGGTGAAATGCCAGGTCGGTAGGAGATTCGGGGGAGGTGGGAGAAGAGCTCTCCAAAGATGCAGGAGCAGCGTGGGGCAAGGCTGTAGGGGTTAAACAGTGCAGGTCAAACTGGAGCTGGGAGCCAACATAGGCCCGTAATCACTACTGGGGGGTGGGGGTTGAGGGAAAGGATCTCGTTTCGATCAGCCCCATCGAGCGTCCCAAAGCAACAAGTGTGAAAAGAAAAGGCTCGTTGGACATACACGAGGTTCCCCTGGTACAGCCTGCCACTACTCGCTCGGCCCCGCTGTCACATACCTGCAAGCAATGAGCACGGCCTTGTGAGCTTTAAACTCTTCACCATCCACCAGGACCTTCACATCTGTCAGGATTTCTCGCTTCCTCATCTCGTTCAGGTTCAGCATCATGTCGGTGGAGTGTCGGGTGAATTCTTTGACGTAGCTCTCTGGTTTGGACCCCATCGTCATCTGAGCAAAGACAACCAGAAGGCTTGAGGGTGGGGGGCGGGGGGCGGGGTTTGAAACGGAACGGAAACAAGCCGGAGACCCGGCCGCACGCTTCGGCGAGAACAGAAAGATCCCAGGGGCGGGAATCGGTGCCGGCAATGAAAGGAAGATTCGGTAGTAACTCAGGATCAGGAGGAGGCCATTCAGCCCACAAACCTATTCCACCCACTGCTCAATGAGATCGTGGTTGATCAGTGTCTCAGGCCCACTTACCCATCTCCAGTCACCTTTAATATTCTTAAGGCAAACAAGGGCAGGACTTGTACAATTAAAAATAGGGCCTCAGGCAGTGCTGTAGAACAGAGAGCTAGGGGTGCAGGTACATAATTCTTTGAAGTTTGCATCACATGAAGACAGCGTGGTTAAAAAGGCATTTGGTACACTTGCCTTCGTTGCTCAGACCATTGAGTATAAGAGTTGGGACGTCACATTGAGGTTGTACAGGACATTGGCAAGGCTTTTTTTGGTGTACTGTGTGCAGTTCTGCTTCAGGAAGGATATTATTAAAATGGGAGAGGGTGCAGAAAAGATTTACAAGGGTGTTACCAGGACGGGGTGGGGTTTGAGTTTAACGAGAGGCTGATCCCCTGAAACATAGGTGGTTTATAAAATCATGTGGGGCAGAGATAAAGGTAAATAGTAAAAAGGTCTTTTCCCCAGGGTAGGGGAGTTCAAAACCAGGGGCTATAATTTAAAAGGTGAGAGGAGAAAGATTTAAAACAAAAGGGACTGAGGGGCAACTTTTTCCACACAGAGTATGGCGCATGTGTGGATTGAATTGCCAGAGGAAGTGGTAGATGCGGGTACAGTTACAATGTCTAAAAGACATTTGGATAAGTAGATGAACAGGAATGGTTTAAAGGGATGTGGGCCAAATACAGGTAAACAGGACTAATTGAGTTGGAGAAACTTGTTCGGCCTGAACAAAAGTTGGACCAAAGGGTCTGTTTCTACAGCAGCAGTGGGTGGGATTCGAACCTCTGACCCCAGCCAGTGACTGAGTTACTGATCCAGGAGTATCATCATTATTGCTGCTAGCTGCCTCAAATTTCTGCGGTGTGTTCTGTAGATGGTACAGACTGCAGCTAAACTGTGCATCAGTGATGCAGGGACCAGGTTGTTTGTGCTCTCAGACATGATTAGGAGATTAGCCTCTGCAAAGGGAGACACACACACACGGCCAGGCCGACGGCATTCCCAGCTTTGACTTTCCTGTTTCAGAGATCCCTGCCACGCACAGACCTCACGACATTTCTCAGCCCCCTGATTTCACGCCTTGCCTCGTGTGGGAGCTCGCTGTAAGCAAACTGGCTGCTGAGACTTCTTGAGGTATAGTCGCTGCTGTAACGCAAGAAGTCTTTTTGTTGTCCGAGAGAGTGAAGTCATGAAGGACAACATTAGAAATTCTTTCTCTCTCTGCTCACCTGTTCCTTCAATTGCTCCCTTTGTAACTCACGGGGACATCAGCAAACTCTCAAGGAACCTGGATGAAGGAGTAAAAGACAGAAGGTAAGCACAGTGTGTCACCCTGCAGATATTGTTTGCTCCCACCGCTCAGGCATCCAGGTCTCTGGCCATCCAGTGGGCAAAAGCCACCCCCCGCCACCCACCCACCATTTCCCAGGAAAGAATAGATTTCTTCCAAAGGTAAGGTGAAAATGTTGGACTTGAAATGTTTGCTCTCCATGTAGAGATTGCCAGACCTCCCCAGTTTCAGCACTTTGTACCTGTATTTAAAGAAACAGTTTTTTAAATGGCTGAAATAAGTTAAGGCTGAGGGATGAATATGGTTACAGGTCACCAGTTACACCTCTGTTATTCCTGTTGGAATTGCAACCGTGGGGAATTTTCCACTCTTCCCCACAGCCTCTTCAGCACTGACCGCCTCCCTCAGTGTTCCACCAGGGCAATCAGCCTGGATTATACCCTCACAGTCTTACAGCATGGAAACAGACCCTTCGGTCCAACTTGTCCATGCCGACCAAGTTTCCCCAAACTAAAACTAGTCCCAGATAACAAAGTGTAGAGCTGGATGAACACAGCAGGCCAAGCAGCATCAGAGCTTTCCTGCTCCCCTGATGCTGCTTGGCCTGCTGTGTTCATCCAGCTCTACGCCTTGTTATCTCAGATTCTCCAGCATTGGCAGTTCCTACTATCTCTAAAACTAGTCCCATTTGCCTACAGTGGTAAAGCCGCAAGTCTGACTCACAAGGTAAGGCTGTCACCTATTTACTCCAAGGGCGATCATCAGGGAGGCATGAACACAGCCCAGTCCATCACACAAACCAGCCTTCCTTCCATTGGCTCCGTCTATACTTCCCGCTGCCTTGGGAAAGCAGCAAACATCAAAGACCTCTCCCACCCCTTTCCGTCAGGCAGAAGATACAAAAGTTTGAAAACACGTACCAGCAGATTTAAGACCATCTTCTTTCCCGCTATTATCAGACTTATGAACAGACTTCACATATATTAGAGTTGACCATTCTCTGCCCCTTGTCTGTGGCTGTAACACTATTCTGCAGTCTGTTCTATTACCCTGACATACTTATGTAAGGTATGATTTGTCTGGTTAACATGCAAAACAATACTTTTCACTGTATCTCAGTAAGTGACAATAATAAAGCAAATCAAATAAATCCAATCCATTGGAATAAAGCATCAAGCACAGGATGAAAACAGCTTTTGAGAAAGGTACAGAGAACATTTTGGCGTTTAGCTGTATGCCTGGCCCTGGATTTTAAAATCAGTATGTAAATATAGCTGTGTGTAACTCCACACAGCCCAATCAGACAGTCTGTTTAACAAACAGGAGGCAGAAATGGGATTAAATCTCACCTCAACCAGTGAAACAACCTCAGGTAGCAACACTAGTGACAGTCAAATTCTAAAATGGGTTTGTTCGCGATAGTGTAGAGAGGTTACAAAGAGTAGGAGCAGCTTTACTCTGTATCTAACTCTGTGCTGTCCCTGTCCTGGGAGCGTTTGATGGGGGGGAAACAGTATCAGAGAATTGTACAACATGGAAACAAACCCTTCAGTCCACTCATCCATGCCAACCACGTCCCCAAATTAAACTAGTCCCCCGACTCCCCAGCTGTGTTTGGCCCATATCCCTCCAAACCTTTCCTATTCAAGTACCTGCCCAAAGATCTTTTAAACATTGGATGCAGGTGCAGTTACAATACTTCCTCGGGAAGTTCATTCCACACAAGAATCATTGTGTAAAAAAGTTGCCCCTTGTGTCCCTTTTAAAAACTTTCTCCTCTCAACTTAAAAATACTCCCCTGGTTTTGAACGCCTGCACCCTGGGTGAAAGACCTTTGCTATTCACCTTATCCATCCCCCTCATGATCTTGTAAACCTCCATGAGTGTCGAGGGAGCTTTACTCTGTATCTAACCCGTGCTGTCCCTGTCCTGGGGGTATTTGATTGGGGGGGGGGGAACAGAGTCGAGGGAGCTTTACTCTGCATCTAACCCCATACTGTCCCCATCCTGGGAGTGTTTGATTGGAGGGGAAAACAGTGTCGAGGAAGCTATATTTTAGTTTAAGAGATTAGTGGAAGCTTTACCCTGAGTCGAAATGAAGCCTTACTTTCAGTCTAAGATGGCAGAGGGAATTTGGATCTCTACCTGACCCTGTGCTGTACCTAGGGGGAGATTATATCCAGCAACGATAACCCTGCCCTTGAAGGATCAAGGAAACCAGAGAAATAAACGTGACTGCACGAACCAACAGGATCTCCCCATGAACTGAAGGGTGAGACGGAGACCCGAGGCAATGATAGTTAATGCTGCCAAAGTCAATGGATCATTCACCTCACCCAGCCCTCCCATTCCCAATTCCCCACTCACCCTGCGCTACCAGAGGCTCAGACCTGGCTGCGGCAAGGCCAACACAAGCTCCTTTCGCCAACGCGAGCCTCTGGAGGTTTCCATACAGTGTCCGAGGATAGCGAGCGAGCGAGGGGGGTCATAGACAGAAGCTGCCAGCTCCCTCGCTAATCCGCACGGACAACTCCTGGATCCAGCCAGGAAGTGTCCCTTAAAACCAGCGCCGGAAACAAAAAAAAGCCACGAGCTCACATCCTCTCTCCTCCCCTGACGCACCATGCTGACAGGAGGCAGCGATATATTTAGCTTCTTGGGACGGGAAAGAGTAAAAAACAAAAAAGGGGCGGGGGTCTATTGGGTTGCGGGGTTCTGGGGCTCAGGGTCGCAAATCCGCCTCGCCCCGGCCATGCGTTCAGTATCCCGAACAAAATATTCTCGCCCACTTGGGGTGGGGGGGGCACGAGGGCAAGGGTCAGCTTGAGCTGCGCTGCCACCCATAGCCGAAAAGCAGAGTTGGTGGAAGTTGAACCGTTGCCAGAAGTGAGATTTCTGCACACTCCAGACTAATGATGAGAGCAACAGGCAAAAGATAGAGATGGGCGATTGGTTCATGTGTGTGCGAGAGAGAGAGAGAAACACGGGGGGGCGGGGGTGGGGGGAGTGCTTCACGGAGTCTTTTTTTGATGGGATTGTTTGCTTTCTCTGATCCAGTGAGTGATTCAGGCCCTTCCTGCTATTGTGGCAAGTACAGGATACTATGACGTGCCTGGCCACGGAGATCGAGCAGCTGGGTAGGACAGCGAGAACGTCACTGACAACACACAGCAACCCTGGCCCCACTCGAGTCCTCTTATGGTCAAACCCAGTGCTTGTCCCCTCTCAGTCTCGAACAGGCAAATGGCATCCTGTGTTGACTGATGAGGCCTTCCTGCCCAGCCCAGCCCAGCCCAGCCCAGCCATACAAGAACATGCCCGCTGCAAGCCTCTTGCTGGGAAAAATGTTTCTTCAGGAAGATGTGGAAGCGTTGGAAAAGGTGCAGAGGAGATTTACCAGGACGTTGCCTGGAATGGAGGGAAGGTCTTACAAGGAAAGGTTGAGAGAGCTAGGGCTTTTCTCTTTAGAACGACAGAGGATGAGAGGTGACTTGATAGAGGTGTACAAAATGATCAGAGGTATAGATAGAGAGTGGACAGCCAGAGACTTTTTCCTAGGGTGGAGGTAGCTATTACGAGGGGGCATAGTTTTAAAGTGAGTGGAGGTAGATATAGGGGAGACGTCAGAGGTAGGTTCTTTACTCAGAGAGTGGTAGGGATGTGGAATGCATTGCCGGAGAGGGTAGTGGAGTCGGCCTCATTAGGGGCATTTAAGCAGCTATTACATAGGCATATGGATGATAGTATAAGGTAGGGGTGGAGGTTAGATCGACCCTAGGATTAGGATAAAAGTTCGGCACAACATTGTGGGCCAAAGGGCCTGTACTGTGCTGTACTGTTCTATGTTCTAGGAACAGCTCAGCTCCTCACTGGGAACGTGACCAATCTGTACCGGGACCTCATCTCCGCCCCAAGCTCTGTAACCCTCACCTCCCCAACATCCAGTGAGCTCAGTCTCAACATTCCCACTTCATTCCCTCACTCCAGCATCCCCCCCCACCACCTCCCCAACTCCTTGACTTGGGCGAGGGCAAGGATAGGACACACAGAGAGAGTGAGAAAACAGACACACACAAACAGAGGGACCTGCTTCCTCTTCACCACCCTTTTTAAAAACGATTATGTCAGCTATCCCTCTCAGCGCGGATGTTGCTGTGTACTCCATTCGCTCCTGGCAGGGTGGGTACAGATTCTTTCAGGGCTAGAGATTTGAGGTTTGAGTAGACCCCCAGGGAGATCTCTGTTTGAGATCAGGGTCTGCAGGAGTGCGAGAAAGCCAGGACATGAAGCACTGACCTACACCTCACCAAGGAGGGACACGTGGAACTTTGCCACTGCACTACTGTAGAAACATGGCTGTGCACAGCGAGATCCCACAAACACCAATGTGGGATCGGTGCCCCCCCGCCCCAGTGAATTAACCACACAGATCTATAGCTCCAATCGAGGAATGACCGGGCCTTCGGAGTGGCCTGGTCTGAAAGGTGGCTCCTCCGACAGGGTGGCACTGGGAGGATCTGCCTTGCACCTATTCCTGAAGGTGAAGGATAAACCTGGAGCCAATCTTACCACACCATTGGAGGGAGAAATCCACATTCCAAGCATATACCTCCTCACGCAACACCCACATTTCCAGGCAGGTCATAAACGAGTAAGAGCTGGAGATATTCTCAAATCAGCCTGCTCGGAGAGGTCAAACTTGCCTCAAGAACAGACGAAACGTAAAACCAGGTCATCTGGCACAGACGTAGGGACACTACCACAACTCTCTGTGCCGAGATGAAGCCACCACCTGGTTAAAATGAGCAGCAAGGGATCAAAATCTACAAACTTCTGACTGAAAGGCGAGAGAGTCAGCCACAACACATATTCCACACCATTATCACATCACTGTCCGTGGGAGCTTGCTATGTGCAAATTGATTGCTGTGTCTCTGACATTACAACAGCGAGCACTTTTCCAAACAGTCCGGGAAGTTGTCTTCCTTCCTGTGTGTTTCGGTGGCGGGGGCGGGGGTGGTAAGAGTGAGATTTTCCAGGAGGAACCGCAGCACCGGCAAATAGTGAACCACATCCCCGACAGGTTAACCGTGGACCCTCCCCAATCAAACTGAGTAACAATGCTAGAGGAGCTCAGACTGAACCACACCTAACCCAGCCGCCAGCCCTTTCCCAGCAGCTCCTTTCTCGACTGGCTGAGTCATTCTGATTGGATTAAACGGGCTGGGATTCATGGCAGGAAACTGGGGGGGGGATGTCTACTGCTGTCCCAGAGGAAGCAAAATGACACTGCCTGGGGGGATGGTGCGTACATGCATGCACCAACATGTCTCAGTGTCACTAGACCTCCCCCCCGCCCCGCAAAAGGCTCAAAACCGGCCCCCACGCAGACATGGGGTCACCAGGGCAAGGGGTGGGCGTGAGGGGCACGATTCTGGAACCATGGCTCAGAACCTTCCGGAACAGGGCAATAACAAACACTCACCAGGTCTCTCCACAGCCTCTGACTGATAAGGGAAAACTAAAGTGAGAGAGTTATTTGCCACTGCGGCATTGAAAGCCAGTTTCTGTCTCTGCTCTGAAGTCACGCAGCACAGAAACACAGCTTTTGGTCCAGCTTGTCCAAGCCGACCAAGTTTCCCGAACCAAACGAGTCCCATTTGCCTGCGTTTGGCCCATATCCCTCTAAATCCTTCCTATCCATGTCCCCATCCAGAGGCCTTTTAAATGTTGTAATTGTGCCGGCCTCCACCACTTCCTCTGGCAGCGCATTCCATACACGCACTGCCCTCTGCAGGAAAAAGTTGCCCCTCAGGTCCCATTTAAATCTTTCCCCTCTCACCTTAAACCTACGCCCCTCTAGTTCTGAACTCCCCTACCCTGGGGGAAAAAAGAAAGACCTTGTCTATTCATCTTAGCTATGCCCCTCATGATTTTATAAACCCTCTTATGGAGGGGAATTAGCCCAGAGTGCATATTCAAAGAGTTGGGGTGGTAAGTGGAACTGGGTGGCACAGAATTTTTTTTTTGGGGTGAGTGGGTGGGGGGGGGGGTGTGCAGTGCCGAGGGAGTGCTGCACTGTCAGCGGTGCACCCTTGCAAATCCAAAGTTTCATTGAGGGCCCCACACGTCTCTCAGGGCGAAATGCAAATAATCCTGACTCCTCTTTTTTGACGCGGATTGGGGGGGGGGAGGAATGTATCCTCCGATAATCTGGGGGAACCGCCACAGAGATGGGCAACCCGCTGGCAGGATCTTGCTGTGCACAAAACCCCCACTGCTCTGCTTCCTAAAATACTTCAGCGTTTGAGAGACGCACTGGGTGGGGGTGAGAACCCACCTGGGGTGGTATCAAATGTGACTTCTCGATATCTGTAAGGACACAGGCTTCTCGCGAGCAAATGCATGCAGAAGAATGAAAGGCTTCTGCGACTGCATTTCCTGAGATATTCTTAACCTGCTCTCACAGCTTCCGCAGTCAAGTCTCTTGTTTGTGCGGCCGAGGAGACAGGAATCCTCTGTTGCCAGTGGGGTGGCACAGGGTGTGGGTCCGCGCACGCCGTACCCCCAACACCCCTCCCGGATGTGTTTAACTGCCCAAGTAGTGTCTACGTGTTTGCCTGGGTTTATTTTGGGATGTGACTGGAGGGTTGGCCCTTTCCTACTGTCTGGTTGCTTGCTGCTCAGCTACTGTGATCTCTGTCTGTCTTTCCAAGAGCGAGTCTGTCCGCACAGACACAGGCAAACAGCACCATCTCTCCCCTTTCTCCCCTAAAGCCAGTCCTTAAAACCTCAAAATCACCGAGAGGCAACTGCCACTCGGGAACTCAGACACCAACATGGGCACCCTGCGCATAGACAGACACACAACAGAAAACGTGTCAAAAAACATATACAGAGGAAACAGGGACCCAAGCTTTTCCAGCCCCTTTTAAAACAGTCTCAGCAAGTTCCACAGGCACAGGAACTTTGTGACCGTAACTGAGGAAGCACAAACGGTCAGATGGTCTGTGAGGGGCTGAGTATCAGTCAGGACATCAAATTAACTCTCCAGCTCTCCCTGCCAGAAAGTCACACAATCAAACATCCAGGGGTCAGTGTCAAGGCCAGCTGAGGGGGTGGGGGAAATAGAGCCGTTAACAACTTTAATTCTGTACAAAGGGAAAACCGCTGTCATTTTAAAATACAACAGCCCGAAAGCTGTCTAGACTGTCTCTGGGTGACACAGCCCCCGTTATAAAGCTCCCCCTTCCCTGCAGACTGCCCTCTGTAACCCCTCTGGTCGAAACTGCTGGACCATCTCATTCTCTTCTGTTTGCCCGTAATTCTGCTGCCCTTGCCGCGCTAAAATGAGTCAGAGACTAATCTTTCAAGTCTTGAAGTACACACACACACACAAACACACACAGAGCTGAGGCAGACCTGGATGCCAGTAAATATAAGACAGAGTTTTCGGTAAATGAGGCTGAGTCATGAAAACACCAGACAGGCTGGGAAAACACTGCGTCCAATTTTACAATCAAGCCACCACCAGAGAGAGAGAAAAACAGAGAGGGCGGGGGAGATAAACAGAGAAGGC